TCAAGTCCCTAAAATTTCTGGTGTGTGAAACTGCACCCAGCCCTCTCTTAATTTTTTTTTATTATGATAGACATTTATTTAAAGTAATATATATGCAGATGAAATAATTTTTAGATTGTATGTTTCAGATTTAACCAACTTCATAAAAATATTATGAGGACAGCTATATCCACAGATTTCAACTACATGATTACTTCATTTCCCATTCTTCTCTTTCTTTTCTTTCCCAAATAACCTCTTTGAGATATGGTTCAAGATATAATTTATCCTCCTCATATTTTGTCCACTGCTCTTCAGGCAAGATCTGTTGCCTCATGATCAGGTCCAGTGCTCTCTTAATGCAAAACATCCTGTCATCATAAAGGTTCTCAGGAAGCCTTCTATGGCTTCTTTTACATCTTCATCCTCATATATCGTATCATCTTGCATTAAGCCTAGTTTATTGAATCCTGCAGCATTGTAATACCATTTTGGAATACCGGGCCTGATGCTGCAACAGCAGCCATTCTTGACTGCCTTCTGGGTATGTCCTAGAGGATGCGCCGGGCCAGTGCCCTCTCTTCAAGTTTTATAAACACACTTATCTCATAAAAGCAGTGAGAATTTATTCAAAGGAAAGGCAATGAGAAGGCTTCCAGTTTAAAAGAAATGTATAACTTATTTATCTTTTACTTATATATTTTTTCACAATTTTTGAGAAAAGCTAATGTAAATAGTTAAGTCTCTCAGAAGAGAAATAGTCAGATTTGGTTTTTCGTTAAGTTTTAACTCCGACTGGAGTATCTTCATTCTCCTCACTCTGAAAAGTTACCTCTTCTTGGATGTTCTTAGTACCTTATTCCTTCCCTCAGGAGATTTAATTATTTCCTTATTATTATTTTTTAACTGACTTTGTCTGTCTTTTATAGATAAGTAATTAAGTGGAGAAAATTACTTTTTGCTCATGACTAAGTACACTAGTATATGTAATAATAACTGCCATAAGTCTTTACTTTTACAGGTATTATTTTAATTCATCAGAAAGTAGATATTATGCCATTTGAGAGATAAGAAAACAGAGTCTTAAGCTTAAGTAATTTCCCCAAAGCCATAGAGCTTGCAGCACCTGTTGAGTGTGGTAAAGCAATTTTTGTTGTTGTTGTAGTATTGGGGCTTGCATATGCTAGGCAAGCATTCTACCATTCTACCACTAAATTACATCTCCAGCTCTTTAAAAAAAATTTTAAATTTATTCTAATTAGGTATATATGACAGTAGAATGCATTTTGATTCATTGTACACAATTGCAGCACAACTTTTCATTTCTCTGGTTATATACAATGTAGCATTGCGCAATATATATGTGCAGTCAATACATGTACCTAGGGTAATGATGTCCACCTCATTCCATCATCTTTCCTGCCCTCATTCCCCCTCCCTTCCCTTCCCTTCCCTCCCCTTCCCTCCTATTTGCCTAATCAGTTCCTCCATTTTCCCCATTGCCTACCTCTCATTTTTTTTTTTTTTTTTTTTTTGAGACAGGGATTGCCAAGGTTGGCTTTGAATTTGCAATCCTCCTGCGTTGGCCTCCAGAGAAGGTGGGATTGACAGGTGTGACACCTCCCTTCCCTTCAGCTTTCATTCTTTCTTTTTTTTTTAAAATTATTTATTTATTTTTTAGTTTTTGTCGGACACAACATCTTTGTTTATTTGTGGTGCTGAGGATCGAACCCGGGCCGCACGCATGCCAGGCGAGCGCGCTACTGCTTGAGCCACATCCCCAGCCTCAGCTTTCTTTTTTGTGTGTGGGATTGAACCCAGGGGCTCCAAGTGTTCTACCACTGAGCAATCTCCCAAGCGCTAAAGCAATCTTACGCAAATTCACTGAAACTCACTCACTTTGGATAACAGCAATATTACATACTATTCAGCTTCCATCAGATTTGAAATTTAAAAACATAAGCATTCCAACATATGTTGGTCCTATTTTCTTTCAGTGAAGTTCTTGCAACAAATTTATCCTAAATTTAATTGGGAATGGAAACAATTTATGAACTAACATGTAAAAGAGAAAAACTTCCTGAGACAGATTTTCTTTTGATTTGCCATATATTGTGTCAAAGAGTAAATGCTTATTCATTCTTTCACTCAGCAGACATCCATGGGGCGTTTATTTTGTATGATGAGTTTGGCAGCAAGGAATACAAGGCTGAATGGGAAACAGACCTATCTTAAAGGAATTAGTGATCTAGTGAGGGAGAGTGTAAACATGTAAATAATTATAATTAACTAGAATACTCCAAGTCAAAGCCATAAGAATATAAAGGTGGCAGAGATTACTTTCAGTTGGAAGGAAATCATGTTCGACCAAACGTGGCATTAGACAAATACAAAAGGTTCATTTATAATGCTTTACCAATTTTATCTACAAAAGTTGCAGACATTTTTCAAAACATAAACTTCATTATTTAAAGGCTAGTCTTTTTATCTAAAACATTAGAACCAGCTAGGTGTGGTGGCCCATACCTGTAATCAGTCCCAGTTAACTGGGGAGGCTGATGTGGGAGGATCCCTTAATTGGAGACCAATACCTGAGCAGCAAAGTGAGATTCTTCCAAAAAAAAAAAAACCAATAAACGGAAAGAAAAAAAAAAAAAAAAAGCCTGAATTAAATAATGTTACAATGGATTATAGCATAACCAATATAATCAGCTGGACTTCTACAGAGAGCAGATTGTGAGATGGAGTAGCACCCACATAAAGATACTCAATAATTCAAAGATTTTAAAATTTCTTCTTACAAATTACAAGATACATGATCTTGAATGTGAATGAGCATAAAACAATCCATTTATTCCTTGTCAACCTAAAGCTGCCTCTCCCTTTGAAAGATGTGTTGTACTTTTCCTATTGGCTTAGAATTTGAACCAATAAGGGAGGAGGAAATCTTTATAAACATCCACAAAGGAAGGCTGGCCTTGTGAATGTTGAGTAAAGATTGCTTTGTTCTTCATTTGAGTCTGACTTTCAGAATTTTATGGTATTGACGTTTTTCTTTTTACTGGCAGAGTAAGGAAAAAAAATTATTCAGCTCGGATGTTGTCTTTGTGCCTTGAAATATTCTTTCCAATGTTAAAAACACTTCATTTCTTATTGTTCAGATTTAAAATGTGATAAATCCTTAATAGATGTTCAAAGGAAAACAAAGAATTTAAATGCAAGTTTTATTATCATGTTGAACATATTTCATATGAATGAAATTAACATTAATTTGCTAGACTTGTTTGAAGTTTATAATTACTAGGGTTCTTTCATTTCAAAAGTGGCATATATTATAGTTATTAGCCTCTATTAAGGGCTGTTGAGAGGCAAAGCTAATATTAGGTTCTCAGCAATGGCTATTATATATTGAGATTCTGGGTTATTACAATTTTTTGTTTTTGACATTTAGTAAAAGCATTAAGAAAGGTGTTTGCATAGTAATTTCTTAACACTGGAACTCAAGAGATCTCTAAAAAAAAGAAGAGAGGAAAAAAAAATTCCCTTCTTCCCCCTCCCCCCTTGTGTGGGTGATTTTATCAGAAAATTTACCATCCTGAGTTCCCTGTTTACAGGTTTCTAGAAAAATCAATAGAATAGTGTTGGGGCACCAATTAGATCTAAATGAAGAAAAAAATTCACTTGCACTTTCCCCAAATTTACACTCAGTTTATAGCAAGTGTCCTAACAATATTGAAAGACCATTTCTTTTGGAAGAAAAGGAATACTTGGTCAAGAGTTTATTTCATTTCTCTATTCTGCGAAATGGGATACAAAGTAACTGCAAAGAGATGGGACCGAGGAAGGAAAAAAACAAAACACCAAGCAAAACCACAACCATCAGTATCACTAGTCAGAAAGCTAAGATGGGAATTTTTCATAACCTGTAATACTTCATATCAGAACACAGAACAAATAAACCGGGGAAGACAGAGTTCACGGGGACACATGGAGCAGGCTTGGAGGACAGGCTAATAATATAGAAATCGCAAAAGGGAAGAGAATACTCTTGCTTTTTCTTGTCATCCGAAGGAAAAAACAAAAACAAAAAAACCCTCAAGCTCTGCAGGGGGCAAAGGCCGGTGCCCACAGTTCCACATGCAAATGTGCCTGCACGTTTGTTTCCGCCAGCGAGTTCAGACCCACGTTGGCAGCGCGGGTAGGGAGCAGGCAGCCTCGGTCCGGCCGCCGTCTCCTTTGTCTCCGCGCTGGGCGCCACGGCTGCGGCCCTTCTTTGCCCGGAGTGAGCAGCCCCTGCGAGCAGTGCGGGGCCGTCCGGCCCGCCCGCCGTCCCTCCCAACTTGCAGCCGGGACCCCACGCTGGCGGGCCCGCCCCAGCTGCTATTTCCTCCCTCAGCTCGGCCGGCTAGTACGACCTTGTGTTTGTTTTGATTTTCGGGCTTGGGAGAGAGAAACGAGGGCTGGAAATTGCCGTGGTTCAGCAACTGCTTATTTTGGCAGGAATTCCGACCCCGGGTCGCTACATTCAACCGCGCGAAACGGCTCCAGCCTTCCCCCAGAACCTGATAAATGGACAGAAGCTTGCTCCTTCCGGTGCCCCTGACTAGGAAGGGGAAAGCCACAGGCTGGAGCCAGCCCGCGGGGGCTGGGGGCCCCACGCCGTAGAACCGGCCAGGCCGGGGCTTGCTCTCCTGAGGGAGCGGGAGAGGTGGAGCGCCGGCGGGCTCGGGTCGCCCGGGCCGGCCCCACGGGGCGGGTCGACGCGCCCTGGCGGAGCCCCGGAACGAACCAGAGGTCGCGGCGGGGAGCCGGCGGGTGTGGGGGAGGCGGAGGGCGGCAATCCACCTGGGCGACGTGGCAGCCATTGCCTACTCTTAGAGACCCCTCCCCACGCGGCCGCCCACCCGCCCTCTCGCGGCTGGCTCCTGTGAGGCTGCTCTTCCCCGGTCGGACAGAGAGCGGCAGTGTCTCCCCGCTCCGCGCGCTCGTTGCGCGTCTCCCCCCCGCGGCCGCAGCTGCTCGCCAGCCCTGCGCGGCGCCGGAGAGCGCAGTGGCGGCGGCGGGAAAGGGCTGCGGACCCGCGGTGCCGCGTCGCACACTCGACGACGCGGCTCCGGCTTCGGTGCCCTCCGCCCGCTCCAGGAGCAGGTAAAGGCTTTGGGCGGGAGGTAGGCGGCGGGGCCCGGGAAGGGGCCGGGGAGGGAAAGGATCCCGGGGCGCCGAGCTGAAGCGGAGGGCCTGAGGCAGCGGCGGGTGGCGCTACGACTAAAAGCAAAGCTCCGAACGAGGGGGCCGACGCGGGCTGTCCGGCCCGCGGGCCGGGCCGCGGGACAGAAGGGAAGTGAGGCGTCGGCGAGAGGCGGGCCCTGGCACTCAGCCCGAGGCCGGGCGAAGGCGGGCGCCGCGGCTGCTTCCCGGCCTCCCAGTGCCTGGCGGGCCTCCAGGCCCCAGACACGCCCCTCTTGCCCCCCTGGTCACCCCCTCCGATTCCGCCGGGGCTTGACCTTGCACCCCTCCGCGCGCCTTCGGTGTTTCCCAGGCGGAGCCTTCTGGGAACTTGAGGCCACCTTCCCGAGCACGTAGTCCTAGCAGAGCTGTTTATTTACTCACTTTTCCAAATCCAAACACACAGCCACTCACTCCACACCTAAGGGTTTTGGATTCTGCAGGGAGACGTTCCCCTTCCCTAGTATTTGTGCGTCGTAGACCCGCGTCCACTCCCCACCCCCACCGCAACTTTGGGACCATTCTCGAGCTCTTCTCTGTTCGGGACCCTCTCCCAGCTCTCGGTTTGGAAATCCGACTTCGATAGAGTGAGTCATCTCACCGGGGACACTGTTTATCCTCATTCGTTTTTGGTTACAAGAGTTTTTCCCTTAAGAGAGCTAGAGGAATGAAAAATTGTAGATGTCAGATCATGGTCAGTATTGGCTTTGAAGAATCTTCCCTTCGGCAACCCTCTTAGAACTAGTATCAGATCTTTGTAGCACCGACAGGTTTGTACACATTCTCGCCATGCAGTGGTTGTAATGTCTCCATAGCACAGTTCTGACTTGAAGGCAGGATTGGCTGGCTTTTCTACTCGACATCTTTAAGCCAATCAAGAAGCGCTGCTTGCCTGGAGACTGGTTAACTCAGAAAAGGTGGGGATTGGTTGAGCTCGGAGGAGAAAATCTAGAAGATGAACCTGGCCTCTTAGAAAACAATGACTGGTTTCCACTTGCCTTTTCTTCCTCTTAAAAAACAAAAACGGTTATCTTTTGTTGCCAATATCAACCTTTTCAACCCGTTTTTATTGTTTCCTGTGTTTTCTCTAAAACCATCTCTCTTTTGTACCTCACCCCTTTAACCTCAGTTTTCCCCAGAAGAATTCTTGACACGCTTCAAGAAATATAAACGTGTATTTTGTGTTTTGGCAAGCGTGGTTCTTTTTTTTTTTTTTGCATCTTTCCTTTTTATAGGTCAGAATTAAATCAATTTTTGGTTCCTATGCCAGAGCCTTTTAAAGTGCTATATGAGGATAGGGGCTATGCTGGAGGTGGTGGGAGAATAGGAAAGAAATGGCTGCTCTTCTGCAGGGAGGCTACAATTAAAGAAAAAATGATTAGCCTGTAGAACAACAACAACAATAATCATAACAACAACAACAAAACCCCAACTCTACAAATCATCATACAGTACTTGCGAGTATCAGTTAGTGCACCTGTTGATTTTAGTTGCTTTGAAGGGGAGAGAATGGGAGTACTGAACTGTATTGAAAAAAATGAATTGGGCTGGGATTGTGGCTCAGCGGTAGAGCACTTGCCTAGCATGGGCAGGACCCGGGTTCGATCCTCAGCACCACATACAAAATAAAGGCACTGCATTGTGTCCATCTACACCTAAAAAACAAATATTAAAAAAAAAAAGAAAAAAATGACTTGAGTTATGGTAAAGGCATGTTTTTCTTCATTAAAGTAGGCACGGTGTCTTATAGAAGTTAAATAAGTATAAGTGCAGGTACATTTCTTTTAAAAAATGCTAATTATTTTCCTTATAACACTTCTCTTTCAAGCCCAGCTTGGCCTGTAGGTAGATGCAGTGCTTGAGACCCTGGGTAAACACCAGGTCGGGCCACACAGGGGGACCCTGTCTCAAAAACAAACAAACAAACAAACAAAAAAACCTTCCCTTTTTTATGATTATTCATGATTATGCATATCTTTTGATATGCAGTTTATTAGTCAATGTGAATTTTAGAAAATAACTACCTAGCTTTGCCTTCCCTTGACACTTCCCCCACCCCAGGAACTGGGTGCTTTACCACTGAGCTACATTCCTTAACCTTTTTTTTGTTTTTTATTTTGAAACTGGGTCTTGTTAGATTGGTTACTCTGGCCTCCAACATGAAATCCTCCTGCCTCAGCTTCCTGAGTTGGTGAGATTATGTGTCCCTGTGCCACTGCACCAGGCCTTCAGCTTTTTATATACAAAATAACATTAAAATTTGGGAAGAAACTTGAGTTTGCTTTATGAAACAGTAAATATCTATAATATGCCTTTAAAAGTAATTTACATTTGGAATTAAGAGATTGAAGCCCCGTACTCTACCCTTCCCCCACATTCTGGGGATTGAACCCAAGAGGCACTTTACCATTGAGCTACACCCCCAGCCTTTTTTTTTTTTTAAACTTTTTTATAGTTGTAGATGGACAGTATGCCTTTATTTATTTATTTTTTATGTGGTGCTGAGGATAGAACCCAGTGCCTCACACATACTAGGCAAATGCTCTTCCACTGAGCTATAGCCCCAGCCCAACCCCCAGCCATTTTTATTTTGAGACAGAGTCTGGCTAAGTATCCATTCTCCTGCCTCAGCCTCCCAAGTGGCTGGAGTTTATAGAGGTGTGGGCTACTTGGCCCATCTTAAATTAACTAGATTTTTATGACTACTAATCAATGGAATTACTGGATCAAAGAACCCACATTGTTAACACTTGGCTGAGAACAGGTCCTGGGTGTACCAGTTTCACTAAACCTCACTACACTAATGGTGGATCCTGTTTTTCTAAATGTATATAACATTTTTCTAAATGTTTATAACCTTTGATCATCTATTGGATCAAGCTCTTTTTTCTTAAAACTGAGCAAGTCCCCAAAATACGGTTTTTAGTGTCTTTTTTTCTTGAAAATATTTTTCTTTAATTTTGCTGTTACTTTGTAGTTAGTTTTTCCTTCCCAGGGCCTTGTGCATTCTAGACAAATGTTCTACCACTTAGTTATGTATGTTCTTCGCTCTTCTAATGTTTATTCTCTTTCTTCTTTCACATTCCAATTGATCATTGAACCCCATTGTATCTTTTTCTTTTATAATAGTCACTTGAATTTGTTCCTTTTCTTAATCTCTACTGCTACCATTCTATTTCATGGTTGGTATCTTTCACCTGGGTTGCTGCAGTGGCCTCTTGACTGGTCCTCCCTGCTTCTCGTCTTGTCTTGCAATCAATTTTTTTCTCCTTCACTGTAGCTAGAGTCATCTCTTTTAACACACTCTACTTAAAACCTTTTTTTTTTTTTTGTGGATTTTCATTGCTTTCAATGAAAGCAATGATAAAGTCTGAACTTGATTTGGCTTTCAGAACCCTCATGATTTGGCTTTTAGTTACAGTCTTCATTTTCTTGTCACGTTCTCCCTTTGCCCTCAGTATGCTAGTCCTATTCAGTTACTTGCATTTCTTCCTTAAGATACTGAGTTCATTAAATATATAGGCCTTAGTACAGAAGCTTGTCTGCCTGAATACCTACCTAGATCTCTCCTTACCTCCTCTTTTGCTTTGTTAACTCATACTTGTCTTTCAGGTTGTAGTTCTGGGCAATACCTCCATGAAAAAGTCTTCTTTGATATATATCTGGATTATTACATGAGCCTCCAGTTTATTTCCCTAGGACTCTGTTCTCCTATCACATTGTGATTGATTATTTTTACTGGTTAGGTTATAACAAAGGAGGGAGATAAATCGAGATAGGATTTCACTAAGTTGCTTAGGCTGGCCTTGAACTTGCAATCCTCATGCCTCAGCCACCCATATCTGTGGTATTACAGATGTGTGTCACTGTCCCTGGCTTCCATTCTAATTTTTTTTTTTCTTTTGGTACGGGGAATTGAATCCATGGGCATTTAACTGTCCGGTCCCAACCCCCCTCTTTTAAGTTTTGAGACAAAGTCTTGCTAAGTTGCTTAGGGCCTCACAAAATTGCCCTGGCTTTGAACTTGCAATCCTTCTACCTCTTCCTCTGTGTTGTTGGGATTATAGGCGTGCACTAACATGCCTGGCTTTCTATTGCAATTCTTTTTTTTTTTGTTGTTGTTGTTACTGGGGACTGAACTCAGGGGCACGTGACCACCGAGCCACATCCCCGGCCCTGTTTGGTATTTTATTTAGAGATAGGGTCTCACTGAGTTGCTTAGCACCTTGCTTTTGCTGAGATTGCGTTGAACTCATGATCCTCCTGCCTCAGCCTCCCAAGCCTCTGGGATTATAGGTGTGCACCACCAAGCCCAGCTCCATTGTAATTCTTTTTTTTTTGTGTGTAAGTTTTTAAAATTTTTTTTAAGATATTGATGGACCTTTATTTTTTATTCATTTATTTATATATGGTGCTGAGACTCAAACCCAGTGACTTACATGTGCTAGGCAAGTGCTCTACCACTGAACTACAGCCCCAGCCCTCTAATTCATAATTACTCTTCTGATTATGAATTTTATCTTTGTAGGTACTTAATTTGTAGGAAGAAGATGCTCTGTTTTATGGACCTGAGTATTCCTGAGACTGAAATGGTAAATACAATATTTTAGAGAACTAAATTGGCATTTTGGTTTGTGCTAGCATACTTTAAATGTTTGTTGAGCTCATTTGTTAAATAAGACACGTATCTGTAAGATGCTTAGGCTAGTAGTCTAAACAAATAAATATAAAGGTGCTAAGGTAAAGGTATGCATAGAATACAGTAGGAGCTTAAAGTGCTTAGTCAGATTTTGGGAGAGTAGAAAACTTTCCTGAAGTAAAGTTAATTGAGACAGGAGTACAACTTTGGTTGGATGAGGAATAGGGACTTCTGGACAGAGCATTTGTGAGGCAGAGATATCATATTGGCCTACTTGATGAGGGAAGCAAATAATTAGGTGTAGGTGAAATAGAGAGTACCTGGGGAAATGGGGAAAAGCTCCCTAGGTAGGGGGCGAGTTGAATAGGGAGAATGGATGGATATGATATTTGCATTCTTATTGAGGAATACAGTAACAGATGGAGTAAATTTTGCATATCATTTCCAGAGCTATCAAGATCTAGTAAAGTTATTTGTTAGGGGATCCAAAGTTGGTAATTAATTGTGTAGTTGCAATGAAATAAAATTTATTTTTCATTTTTCAGGATTTCTGCTGTGATTTTCTTTTCTGTTTCTAACTCTACTTCTCTGAAGTGAACATTCTCTTTCCCTGCTAACCCACCACCTCTTTTTCTTTGTAGTTAACTCTTTACATTTACTTTTTTGTGTGCGTGCCTGTGGTACTGGGGATTAAACCAAGGGGCACTCTACCAGTGAGCTGGTGAGCTACACCCCAGCCTTTTTTATTTTCTGTTTTGAGACAAGGGTCTCACTAAATTGCTTAGGGCCTCAGTAAGCTGCTGAGGCTGGCTTTTAATTTGCAATGAGCTCCTGCCTAGGCTCCTGAGTTGCTGGGATTACAGGTGTGTGCCACCCCATCTGGCTTATTTTAACCATTTAAAAATGTGCAGTACAGTCTTGCTAACTATATGCACATTTTCACCTTATAAACTGAAACTCTGTATTCATTGAACAGCTTCTCTTTTCTCCCTCCCCCTGACCCTTGGCCATCATATTCTATTTTCTGTTATCATTCTAGTAAAATTATCAATAATTCCTTCATATATACTAATCCTACCATATTCATGTTTCTCCAATTGTTCCAAAAATTGCTGCTTTTTTGTTTTGTTTTTTTAAATACCAGATTTCGATCAACTGCTACCAGTTGCATTTGGTTGTTCGAATTGTCCTTCTTACTCTCCCACCCACTCCTATACCTTCCTTTCTTCCTCTGTGTTACTGACCTGATAACTCTGTTGAGACCATATTACATTTGTGTTGCTGGATTGTTTCCTCATAATGCAATGTGACTGCTTTCTCTGTTCCCTGTAATTCTTGTAAACTTGGAGTTAGATATAAAGGTTTTCACTTATTTGTGAAACTACAAACAAGTAGATTTAGGTAAAATGTATTGGAGAAGAGTATTTCATTTAGTAATACTCTGTACTTAATAGTCTTTCTTATTAAGAGGCATGTAATATCTTGTTGTACTATTACAATGTTATCTGGTCATCAAGGTCAGGTAGTGACATTGATTTTTCATTGTCAAGTTATATTTCTCTCTTTGCATTGAGCAGGTAATCTGTTGTATGCTAATTTGGCACCAGATTAATTCTTTCTTTTTGTCTTTTTTTTTTTTTTTGGCCGTGCTGGTGATTGAGCTCAGGGCTTCACACATACAGGCAAATGCTTTACAACTGAGCTTCATCCCCTGCTCATCAGGTTAATTTCTATTAGCTTTTCACCTAATAATGATTTTAACATTCATTGATGATTTTTTTTTTTTTTGGAGGTTCTGTTTTCACTTATTTGTGAAACTACAAACAAGTGATTAAAAAAAAAAAAAACCAAAAACCCTGGCATACAGATTTTGTTTTTTGTCTTGTTCTCATTGTTTTCTTTCTTTTTTTTTTTTGTTCTCATTGTTTTCATTCTCCTCTTTAACAGATGAAAAGATAACAGGTTAGACCAGTCATTGAACTAGGGGACAGTCCAGCCCTGGGTAACTGAAGTGAGTAGGAGGAGGAGCCAGAGGAGAGGCCTAGGAGCTTGGCTGATGGCCAGACACACTAACAGTTCTAACATAATACAATAAAACAGGGACTTCTTTATTCTCTTTTTATTGATGATTCTTGATCAGTGATTATGTGATCATCAGAATGATGGGTTACAAAATGGTGATTTGTTTTGGATTTTGTTGTTCTTTTAACGTTGCATTAGGCTAGCCTCTATAAAGGTTTCCCTCATCAACTAGGTCTACTTTATTACTTTGAAATATCATTCTTCATAAAAAGGCAGAAAAAATGCCTAATTCTTTCTTTTTATATAACCATTTTCGGAGTCTAATAGACCCTTCCATTGGTGGTGAATGAAGTCTTTCTTTTTATGGCTTTCTCTTTGGAATGTCATGTATATTTACATTATAAACATTCTATTGGATTTGATTTCATTTAAGGTTATAATTTGATATGAGTTTGCTTTTAATGTATGATATTTTATTTTATAGTAAGAAGACTTTATGTTGGATAACAGGAAGAGGTGTAGAGTTTGCAGGTATCAGCTGTGGTCTTACTAAGCATGTCAATAGCATCAATGCCAGATAGACGGTAAGTATTATTAAAATTGTAGGGTATTTTACATGTAGATTTTCAAGCTTTCATTTATATAGTTGAATGATTAAAAGAACAATGTCTCATGAGAAGGAAAATAATCATGGATTTATTTTACTAGAATTCCTAAAGGAGCTAGTGGTTGTATAAAACATCTTAGAGAATCTAAATGTGGTCCCAGTTTTTCTATTCATTGAATGTTTTAGTTTCTCTATCTCTAAAATGCCACTCTTGCTTATTGATATTTTATATATTGTTAGCCATCCATAATTATTTGTGGCTTATTTTATACATGGAACTATGCTAAGTGCTAGTTTGGAGTATATGTTATGATCTGTGTTCTCAAGGAATATAGCTAATTGGGGAGACAAACATATATGGATGAAATTGTAAGTTGATTCCAGTGTAGACATCCTGGGAGGTCACTCTCTCCAAGCCCTGTCTAAGTGGTGTAGGGGAGCATGGGGCTCTGCCACAGGATGTATAATCTCTTTCCACAATGTCGGAGGTGAAGCTGGGCTTGCATCTTCCTATACCATCTCAGAATCCTTTGCGACTGAGGAGACAAACCATGTAGAAAACATGTTAGTGAAAAAAAAATGTCAGTAAAACTAATAATGGAAGGCTCTAAAATCATTAAGCAAGACTAGTGTTACAATAATTGGTAAAAAATTATAGAAAATATTGAAGGGTTATAGGGAAATCCATCTTCTTGCCTTTCTTCAAACGAAAACCAAATTATTCAGCAACTGGTTTTTACCTTTAGCAACATGTCTCAGAGCTCTGTCTGGTTTCTACACACCTCTGTTTTTTTTTACCTGATGCATAATTTTTAAAAGGATGTTTTTGCTATAATTTTACCATACTCATTTCCATCAGTGTTTAGGATGTTTTCAATTATCAGTTATAAGAAATAGTTCTTATGACATATAAATATCTTTTAAGGTGATTGTTTACGTTTTTTTTTGTAAATATTGTCTTTGTAGTGATATGCCTTTTGTACTTTCATGAGATTTTAGTATCTGCTTTACCCTTATCATACAGTACACTTGAAATCATCTTTTAGGTAACCTAACCCTTAGTAAAGATGGATTGTGCTGGTTTTTGGTAGCCTTTGTTTTTGAGGGAGATTTCTGATCTGTCTGGAATCATGGTGTGTTTGGATCCTATATATACTTTATAGGGGAATTTTTTTTTGATGGTATTCTTGTATTTTGATGATTTTTAAAGAGCTAATTTATTATTCATATATTTGGTTGTTAGTATCAATTTTCTTAAGCCTGTTCTTCCTAAATGGCTGATAATGAGTATTAAATAGAAGTTTGTTTTTTTTTTGGTATATGTGTGTGTGTGGTTCTGGGGATTGAACCCAAGGCCACGTGCGTCCTTGGCAAATGTTCTGTGTCTCCAGCCACCAGAACATTTTTCTTGTTATAGAAAAATATTATTTTTTACATATTATTTCACAATGACAATGGTAAGCTTATTTAAAGTTACTGGTCCTGACAATATATACATGTAACAACAGATTTATTCATAAAATTATATGGGAAATTTTTTGTGTTGATGATGAGATTTTTAGTTGGAGGTTTTTTTTTTAAGTGGTATTATTCGTATGTCTACTTTAATGGCAGTATTGACCATTGCCATACCACTATAGAGTTTATGTTCACTCTAGTGTAGTTGGGCACCTTTTTTTTTTTTTTTCTTTTTGGTGATGGGGATTTAATCCAAGGGCACTTGACCACAGCCCTTTTTCTTTTGAAATAGGGTCTTGCTAAATTGCTGAGACTGGCCTCAAATTTATGATCCTCTTGTCTTAGCCTCCAAACGTGTTAGGATTATAGGCTTGCACCACTACACTCAACCCTAGTCATTTTTATATTTGAGACAGGGTCTTGCTTAGGTGCTCAGGTGCCCAGGCTGGCTTCAAACTCACAGTCTTCCTGCCTTAGCCTCTCAAACAGCTGAGATTACAGATGTACAACACTGCACCCAGCACATTTGGACAAACTTTGCAAGAACTTGTCTCAAAATTTTAAAAGGACTGGAAGTGTAGCTTGGTGATAGAGTACTTGTTTAACATATACAAGCCCCTGGGTTTAATCCCTTGTACTACAAACAAACAAAACTAGAATTGATAAGACCTCTGCTTACTGTGCTGGAATGCTATGATGATTATCAGGGAGTAAATATTTATCAGTTATTTTCTCTATCAGTTTAAAATTGAATATTAGAGGTAGAAGGGTTTGGAAAATGTGTATATGTTGTATATGTGGAATTTATGTTCATAGTATTGTTATTAATAATTATCTACTTTTAGGTTCTTTATATGAGCCATTTTCTAATATGAGTATATTTCTAAAATATATCAAACCTTACTCATTCTTATTTTACATATCCTTTTAGGATACTCAATTAAGGTCAGGTTTATATGTGAAGAAACTGTATATGCTTTTTTAAACTTTTGTCTTAATATTAGACTCTCCTGGAAAAATGATGATATGTGAGATCAGATTGTATAAGAGTTAAACATGAACATCATTTATAGTGGAATAAGTGGGACTTAAATAAATTGGATATATAGAGCAAAAATGGTGTTTGGGAGGTAGTGCCAGCTTTGTATGTTTTATATATCATATTTTCTTCTCTATACAAAACATTAGTTGGATACTCAGATTACCTATGTATTTAGATTTTTTTTTTTAATACCAACAGACAAAATGAAAGAAAAGAGTGTTAGGAGATATATAATTTGTACACTGGTGAAAGTAAGCATAAAGGAAAGTCCAAAACTCATCTTTAGTTTATGATAATGATTGTTTTTTCCGTGATATGAAAAACGTATATGTTATAGATTACTTGAAAAATCCAAAAGTAGTATTTAAAAAAAAATCACCTATAATTTTTTTTTTTGGGGTCCATTCTTGTGTAATTCAGTCCCATTTGGGTGTCTGTGAAGGTTGTATTCTAACATTTCCTTTAATAAAGTTTCCATTAAATATTGTCCAAAACATAGTCTTTTTTGTTTCTGTTTTTTAGATGGGGTTTTGCTGTATTGCCCAGGCTGTCCTCAAGCTTCTAGACTCAGCAGTCCTCTTGCCTCAGCCTCCCAAGTAGCTAGGACTAAAGGGACCCAGCTCAAAATATAGTCTTTAATGGCTGCCTAAAATTCCATCTTGAATCTAAAGAGATACTGTATTTTATGGAACCTGACAAATCTGGTTTCAGATTAGCAGATTTAAAAAACAAGCAAATGATCTGAATAGACATTTCTTCAGGGAAGATATACAAGTGCCAATAAGCATCTGTAATTGTGGTAGAAAACATTAGTCATTAGGGAAATTCAAATAAAAACCAACTAGATAAAGCTAGATCCAATTAGAATGGCCATAATTAAACAGAAGGGTAATAACAGGTATAGGTAAGGATGTAGTGAAATTGGAATCCTTATACATTGCTAGCAGAAACTGAAATTTATGCAGTTCCTTTGGAAAAAAGTCTGGTAGTTCTGTAAAGGTTAAACATAGAACGAGGTTCGGTGGTTTAGGCCTATAATCCCAGCAACTTGGGAGGCTGTGAGGCAGGAGGATCATAAGTTTGAGACCAGTCTCAGCCATTTAGGAAAACCCTATATCAAAATAAAATATAAGAGGACTGGGGTAGAAGTTTAGTGGTAAAGCACCCCTGGGTTCAATCCCCAACCAACTAATCAACCAAAGCTTTTGTTTATGGTGCCATATGATCTAGTAATTCCGCCTTTAGGTATGTACCTAAAAATTTGAAAACATATGTCCACACAAAACTAATACATGAATATTCATAGCAACATTATTCATAATATTCAAATATCTATTAACTGATTAATAAGTAAAATGTGGTATACAGTAGAATATTATTTAGCACTAAAAGGAATGAAGGATACAGGCTGGTTGCAACTTGGGTAAACTGAAAACATTGGACTAAGTGAAAGAAGCCACTCATAAAAGATCACATTGTATGATTCCATTTATATAAATGCCCAGAACGGTAGACAAGTCTACAGAGATTGAAAGTAAATTTGTGATTGCCAGGGTTTAGGGTATGGAGTTTCTTTTAGAAGTGATGGGAATGTTCCGGAATTATGTTGTGGAGATAGTTGTACAACTCCATAAATATACTGAAAACAACTGAATTGTGTGTACCTCAGATTTGGTGAATTTTGGGCTAAGGGTAGTTCAGTGATAAAGTGCTTGCCTAATATGTGTGAGGCCTTGGGTTAATCCTCTGCAAAACAGACACACACACACACACACACACACGGAAAAAAAAAAAAGAGAGAAACCCCAAATGGTGAATTTTATAGTTTATATATTATATTTAATAAAACTGGTATCAAAAAGATAATTGGGAGCTAATACGCTTAAAAACAAAATCAGATGAGAGATGCTGTTGCTTTTGAACCAGGTAGGTAGGGTGGAGGTAATGAGAAATGGTTGGATTCTAATTGTATTTTGAAGTTAGAACTGGCAGGATTTGCTAAGTGATGATTAGATATAAGGTGTGAGGGGAAGAGGAGGCAAGAATGACTCTTGGCTTTTTGGCCTCAGCAACTGGAAACTTCCATTAGCTGAGATTTTCAAGACTAGTTAGGGCAGTTCTTTAGTGGAGGATCAGATCACTTTTTACACATGCCTAATTTGGGTTGTTTATTAGATACATAAAGTAGAAGTGTTCAGAGGGTAGTTTGATGTCTGGAGTCAGGAAAGAAGTATTATTGGAGGTGTTAATTTGTTAGCAGGTTGATGTGTTTAAAACCATGAGTCTGGATCAGTGAGGGTCAGTGAGAAAGAAGAGGCTCCCAGGCTCAGTTGGAGCCTCAGAGCAGTTTTCAAATTGAGAGTTGAGAAAGCCTGAGTTGAAAAGCCTGAGAGAGGCAATGTCTTCAGGAGAGGAGAGTAAGTTCTCAGGATGGAATATGATCCATCAGGTGTGGAAGTACTGCTGTGATAGATCTG